CTTTTCAACTTCAAAGCACGCTGCGAACAGTAATTAGGTCTAATAACCATGCTGTGACAGTGAGACGCTGCTATCTCTTGTCTGACAAGGGCGAGGGGGGTGTTAGCCCCCGACACGGTTGCATCATCCCGTGTGAGGCTGGAGATGGACCGCTGAAGGCTGCGGCTTGATAACTCACCTCCCTGTAGGCAAATACCCCGCGGCAGGGAGGGCTTTGAAGATGCTTTCCGGGCTGGTGGGGAGGGGACGGGACGTTGTCAGCGCTCTTTCGGAGCACCTCCTCGAGACTGTAAAGCCCCGTCTGATGCACATTTTGTTCCGCGAGGGCCTGGAGCAGCTTTTGAAACAGCACTGGAATAAGTTTTTCCCCGCCTTGGCTTCCCGGCTGGTGTGTTTTCACCACCCGGCAAAGTGTTGTGGAGACTGGGGAGAATAGTTGTGGACAGCCTGTGTCAGCTGTGGGTCATTTTTCCTTTTGCAAGCCAAATCTTTGAGCTGAGTCGTTTGCTAAAGCAACAGCTCTCCCGTTCCTTCCTTTTAGTTTGCAACACATAAGGGAGAAAAACTGTGCAGGAAGTAATCACTAGACACATTTAAATGCCAGAGACTCGTAAACTGTTTAAATGTGAAAGCTGATGTTAAAAACCTAGAGCTGATTCTGATTGTATATATCTTTTTCAAGTTCCAAAAGCCTGCTTTCATTTGGGTGTGTGTCATGTTGGTTACAAACACCAGTTGTGATCGTTGCTTGGGACAGAGTAGTTTCTAGCTTGCACTTTGCTAACCGCTGGACTGTCTGTGTGAAACTGGGCGCTCTTTGCTGGAGCATTGGGGAGGTCTCTGCCTCCCAGCTGGGGTGGTGGAACCCCCTTGTCTGGGCACTCACAACCCCTCAAACGTGGGTGTCAGTCGAGAAATGTGAAGGTTATTTGCGACAAGCGATTGTTGTCACCGTGAGCGCGCCAGCTTCGTTTTCCGCAGTAGAACAAGGCTCTAAAAAGCACTCGAGAGAGAAAAGGCTTCCCTGTAAATGCTAACATTGGGTGCCTGCATGCGGGCTGGGCGGCTTCTGCCCCATCCCATGGTCCCCAGCACGTTCCCGGCCGACCTGCCGCTGCGCTGGTCGAGTGCGGAACAGAGCCTCTGCCTCCCCACTGCTGCTACAGTCTGGTCTGACCGGGCGGATGTGCCAAGGTGGGTATCCAGCAGAGGAGGCAGGCAGCGCTGTGCTTGTGAACTCTGCACGAGGCTGCTCGTTAGAACTCCTCATTATTATAAAGAGCTATCGGCAAGTTGCATCAAGTTTTGTCAGAAACTCTCGACTTTTTTGTTTCAATATCATGAAAGCAAATAGCAAGCAGGGCTCAGCTGTGCTCAGCCGTTCAGAGGACAGCCAAGCAGCAGGTTCTGTGTGCCAGCGGGCAGGACGATGCCACCATGTCTAGCTGGCCAGGCGTTCGGCTCCGCTGCCGAAGCAACATTGCCTTTTCCTGACGTGTGATCTCTGCCTGACTGACAGTACGAGGCTGCGGCTGCCCAGAGCAGGCTGGTGCTGCGCAGGCCCCCGAGTCGCTCCAGGACCTCGAGAGGTGGAACCGCCTTGTCCACCCAGCACGCCCAGCCTGGGGCAGGTGGCCAGGCCTCAACGCGCCACCGCCGCAGGTCTGCTGCTGGACCGTGTTCGATGCCGTCGTTTAGCAAGCTCTTCTGGAGGGCAAATGGAGCCTGTGTTTCTGTCTTTGCTTCTAAAATGCAGGTTGTAGAAGCCGATAGAGTGCAGCCATGGCTATTTGTGTGATAGCTTGCTGTTTCTTGTTTATGAGACAGTTACTGTACAATCCCTGAATGAAGTTCCTGTAAGGCAAAAGGCCCGTCTATCTTATTAATTAGTGCTAATAATAGTAATTATCATGTGAGCAAGCTGCATGCCTGCTCTGTGACGTTAGGTGAGTTGGTTTCCTGATAGGTGGCTTCTTTTTTTAAGCTGTAAAATGGGTGAAGCGGTATTTGTCCTCAGTTTTGAAAGGTGTTGCTCTGCAAGCGCCATGCGGAGCGGAGGCGTTTTGACCCCGTCGGCTGTGTGGCAGGGGAGGGCAGCCCACTGGGGCTGGCAGGCAGGGGGCTGGCAGAGCGGCTGCGCGGGGGCCGAGGGGGAGGCCGGCAGCTTTGCCGCGCTGGGAGAGGTGGGGTTGCTGCATGTCGCAGGGTGGTCGGCTCCCAGGCGTCTCTGATCACTTGAGTGTCTTCGAGAGCCAGGCCAAAGCATTGGGTTTGCCTTGTTTCTGCTGGCTTGTGGGCTTCCCACTCCTTCCTGATCCATGCTAAGGAAACAACAGGAGCAGAATTCGGGGCGTTCGTATCAACCTGAGCTCTGCCAGGCTCTGCGCACTGGGATACCAAGCGGGATATATGGTTGGGAGATGCTGATGCCTCCCAGCATTCGGGTGTTCCTTTCCTGCAGAGATCCTTCCAGCAGCGGAGTTCGGGATTTGTCCTGATACCCGTAAATGTAAAATTTCCACTTACCAGAGTGATTGTAATTAAACTAAAGTAGATCCTTGCTGTTTTGAGAAGACGGGAAAGCTTTAAGATGAAGAGGCTCCTCAATAACGCTACTTAGACAAACTTGACTTGCTGTTTTGAGAAGACAGGAAACCTCTAAGATAGAGAGGCTCCCAAATAAATTTATC